AGCAGCAGCCCACGAGCGTCCGCTCCAGCAGCGCTGCCGCTAGCATGCGAGTGCCTGAATGAGGCTGCCGGTGGCAAGCTCTTTCCTATATGGAACGAGTCTGCCTGCCTTTGCAGCCTGCCTGGACTGGGCCCAGAAGCTTCGGTAGGCCCCAGGATGCTGCGCTTGCGTCGCAACTACTGGGCCTCTTTCGGTTGGGCCTCCCAACTGTCAGTGTATGAGGCTGCGGTTCTCGCCCAGGGCCTGCATTCTTGTTAAGGCCCAGAAGGCCGTGGAATGTCTTTGTTGCTCGGCCTGTATTTCCCTTCAAGCAACTGGCGCGTCACAACTGTCTGGACCCCAAATACGAAATTGACAGCTGAGGGCCTCTCGTGATTAGTTAGGCCCGCCTTCACTTAGGGCGGGCACAGACACAACAGGGGCCCCTTAGGCCTGCCGGGGACCCGAATCCTCGCATTCCCTCCTCCTTTACTTCGATAGTCCTCTGAGAAGTTCCTATGTAACAGGCTGCTTCCCTTCAGCTTTCTCTCGTAACTTGAGATGATTTGGGGAGCAGTCTTCATTAATTCCTCTCTTGTGAACCACCGGTCTTCTTGAGGATCAATGTGATGTCTGAACCGCGCTCTGTACTACATCTGTGGCTTTGGCGGTCGACCCCTTCCGGGAGGTTTGGGTACAGGCATCAGCTTGTGCTCAACGATATCGTGAATGCCCACGTGTCCATCCATGGTTGGGGGCAGCATTGATCTCCTGGAGGGAAACTGATCAGTGACAGCGAAAGGTGCCAACTTGGAGGCATGGAAAACAGGGTAAATACGCAAGTGTGCAGGAATGCGAATCACGTATGAAGGCCCATCTGGTTGATCTCCTACAATATCTAAGATCTCCCAGGGACCAAAGTACTGTGGCATTAGTTTGCGTGAAATCCCCAACTCTTGACCTAGTTCAGATGATTTGACCCAGACTCTATCACCTACCTGAAAGTCAGAGGGCCGTCTATGCTTATTCTCAGATGCAATCATAGCATCCTGAGATTTTCTAATATGTTTGACGGCCTGCTGCAGTGTCTGTTCGTATTTGACAGCAAACTCTATGCTGCCAGGTGCTGCAGTTGGTTGGGAGTCATTCCAGTAGTACTATGCACAATGTTGTTGTACAGGCTGGCGACGAGAGGTAACTTCTTGTCCCAGTTATCTTGACTTGGCTTGATATAATGCCGAAGCAGGTGCTGTACTACTCGGTTCATCTGTTCTGCCTGGCCATTAGACTCATGGTGGTTCCCTGACGTCATTTGTAGCTTAGTGCCCATTTACTCAGCTGTTGAATGTCACAGTTCACTGGTAAATCTCACATCCCTATCACTCACTATAGATGTAGGGAGTCCAAAATCGCGTACCTAGTTATCCAGAAACAGTTTAATGACAAAATCAGTTTTAGCAGTCTCTGGCATGGCAATGAGTCTTGCATACTTGGAAAAGCGCTTTACTATAACAAAGATGTGTCTCTTGCCTGTCCTGCTGGTCACAAGGGTGTCCATGAAGTCCATGGACGCACTCTGACCAGGACCTTCAAGAATCGGCAAGGGCTTGAGAAGCCCAAGCGGAGCCTGAGTCCTAGGTTTGTCCCTTTGGCAAACCTGGCAGGTTTGAACGTACTTTTTGGCATCTTGCATCATAGTGGGCCACCAAAATTTCTGCACTAAGTTAGCTGAAGTCTTCTTGTAACCAAAATGACCAGTTGCATCATGACATTCCCCTAAAAATAAACTACGCAAGGACTCTCTATCTGGGACACACAACCTTTTATTCCCTGCTTTTTCAAGAAACAGCAGGTCATTTACCATCGTAAATTCATCAGAAGTTATTTTATCCTTCTCTTTGAAGTTACGAATGATCTCAAGCGGCCGCACGTGCGTGAAGTGGCGCGCACGAGATGCGCTGCAAGTGAACCGCTAAAAATAGCGCTAGGGAGCGCTAACACTCCGCGTGGTCGCAGCCAACAGGGCCCGGCTGCCCTCCGCGCGATCGAGCGCCCGCATGGGCTGACGGGGGTAGCTTGAGCCACGCGTCTTGCCCCACGTTCGCGGTGACACTGACGTGGCATCCCCGTTAGAAGTGGGGTTGGCAGGGGAGCGTGGGAGTTTGTCGGCGCGGATTTCGTGGCGGTTCTTATGTGCAGATGGCTTCAATGGGAGACAAGCAGTGAGGAGCCGGCGAGTGGATCTCTCTCGTTCGAGCAGCTCGTTGCCGTTTACATGTAATGGTAGATGCACTGCGCTCACAATTGGGAGCTCGATTTGAGGCTGATGGGGGGGCAGCTTCATCGAACCCGCCGTTTCGGGAAGTGATGAGGAACATGATGCAGATAATCTAGGAGTTGGAGGAGGGGCCAGCTTTGCAATGGGATGGTCTCATGAATGGTCAACAGGAGGAGACTCTGAAGCGGTGTTGCTACGACATCTTCGAGGAGAGGCAAGATGTGTACGCAGCGCTGGAGGAGGAGTGGTACTTGTACTTTGAGACGGAAGATGAAGATAATACCGACGCGAGCATCATCGGCTGTGAAGAGATCGAGGAGGGTCAAGCTCGAGGTGATGACGTCCTCGCTATTGACAAACATGCCAACGACAACAACAAATTCGTGCAGGTCCGTGGTACAAACATGGGGATCGTGAGCTCGGGCGCGCGCGACAACAACAACAACAACAACAACAACAACAATAACAACAACAACAACAACAACAGCAACAATACCTGCAGCAACCACGACGCAGAGATCGTGGACGTCGGCAACACCATGACTGTTGTGCATGACACTGGAACAAGTATGGAAATTGTGAGTTCGTGCATGCCAGACTGCAACAACAAAAACTACAACAACAACAACAACAGAAACGACATCAATAATACCGACAACGACGGTGTGGTAAGTGTGGTGGGGGTTTCAGCTCTCTCCCCCTCCCCCTTCTCTCCCCCGGTGTCCTTTCTCCCCTGTGATTGTGTTGATGATCCAGGGGGAGGGCGACAGGGCTGTTTGAACGGCTCGTTCAGCATAGTGGACGGGTGTGGGGGAGAGCTAGGGGTGGGATGGGTGCGCGAAGGGGTGGGATAGATATTGGATTGTCTTACCACATCTGATTCCGTGGGCCAACACTGCATGAGTCATTAGGGCCTGCAAACGTGATGTCCGTTTTTTGTCAGGTGGCGAGGACAGGAAGTGCCGAGGGAAGCGGCGCTATGGATTTCTTTGTGTGTGACTCGTTTGGGTTCCGCCACGTGGCCTTAAGGTTTTTTAGCTTTTAGTGAGGCCTGCTCAGATTGCCCCTTCTACTCATGGCGATGTATGGTTTTTGGGTTGTTGCTGAGTATTTCTGGGTGGGGTATGAATGAATTCATGCATGGGTGGGCAGTCAATCCCCTCTATTGAGGGTAATCAATGCTGTTCACTGGTTATACATATGTGCCTACGTTGCCGCTCAAACGAATTTGTGCATTTAAATCGGGGTGGCCACGTGGCATGCCTATATGATTTCGAGTTTGCTAAGCTACCCGGGGGGCAGATCCCGGTGGTAAAAATACTAGGATTCGCCACGTGGCAGGCAAGGTGGTGCAATGGGGGTTCCGGGGTTCTGCTACGTGTCCGTCTTTACTGATAGTTTCCCTATTTGGATTGTCTCCTCCCCTCCCATGGTGCTGCAAGATTTGACTACATGATGGGGTTTCTGAGTAGGGATATGATCTTATAGAGTGATGGGCAGCCGTTCCCTATGGTGCTGCAAGAT